TCAACAAGCGAAGAAACTGCAACGACAACAACAACTGTGGTAACTACGGAAGATTCTTCCACAGAGCCTACAAAAACAGAAAACACCTCCACGACACTTACGACGATTCTAGGAACGTCAACAAGCGAAGAAACTACAATGGTAACAACAACTGTGGTAACTACAGAAGATTCTTCCACAGAGCCTACAACAACAGACAAACAACCCCCACAACAACGGCAACGACTGCAAACCCTTCCACGATATCTACAACAACAGAAACTCCGCACTAATTACAACAACTACCACAAATAATGGGGAGAGCCTTTAGGCCAACGTTATCACCTGTTTTTAAATTTTCTGCATTCATAAATGTGTTGTGTGACCCTTTTTTCAGTTGCGGAAATGAATATATTGTCAATCGGTATAATTTTGAAATGATTGATCCGTATCCCTCGTGATCCATACCCCGGTTTTGTTTAGCGTTTAAGTGGATCTTAGTCTTTGTATGTTCCGTCAACGATAGTCGAAAATAAAGGATATATTTTCTTGCTTAGCATGCCGTTTTCAGTTGAACTACTTATCTCAGCCCGTTAGTCTGTTTTTTTTTTTTTTTGGAATTTTTAGAGTATGAAAAGATGGAGCAGTCTTTTGCGAGGAGTACCCCTTAAGATAATGGCGATCGCTCAAAGATTAATTTAATAAGAAATTTATTATTTAAAAGTGATTTGTGATAGAATTTCAAAGATTTGTGGGCGGAAACCTGAAGTGACAGCCTTTCGCAGATCTCTTTTAAAGGCAACTTTAAGAGAATTGTGGCAGTCTGCGAGGAGCACGCACGAGCTACACGGCGAATGCATCTACATACTCCCTAACAAAGCTCTCGCAATTTTTGCTGAATAAGGTGATGTATGTGAGATGACCTTGGCTTAATTGTTCAGACTATATACCTCGTGTTCTAAACGTCGTTACCTATGACTGAGTTAAAATAAAAAAGTTTTTTTCCGATTCTTTATGCACTGTCCAATTTCGTACGTTCCTTCGTATGAAGGCGGATGGGGGTTTCAATTCACTTATTTGTAAACAATGACACCTTAAAAAGCCAAATGGTCAGTTACTTAGTTTAAATGGGTGAGACAATTACAATTAGATTATAATCCTCCACCTGCCATGAGTAAGAAATCATTGCCGCCCCTACGTACTTGGAGATTTTTCCAAGTAATTAAACTTGTTTAAAGAGACTAATGCCACTGCTGATAGTGCCAAGATTTCTCTTTCCTATTCTTTCTTTGCCTGCCTTGGCATGATGTCGATCTTAGGCGATGTTAAGACGTCATTTTGGAGACTTTTATGTAGATTAGATTAGCGATATGAAGAATTTTAATTAACTAACGTGAAGGGCTAAATCCATTAAACGTTTCACTGCACTGCCTAAAACAAACAGAATCACTCTTGCGTACGATTATAAAAATGTTATTTATTATTAGAAAATTTTGTAGAAAATCAATCATAACTTCCAATCGTTGCTATAGGAATTTATGTCTTTAAAGAAATAATGAATTTATGGTATAATTTGCTATTCAATAATGTTTAGATAATTATTTATAGGCTGCAATTTGTATTAATTGGCTCACTTCAAAAGTCATCGATATCTTATCAGAAAAAGTTGCTTTTATATATATATGCATAACATACGATATCATTTACGATATAATTAGAGGAAAAAGTTAAACTGAATAAATATTAATAAATTGTACTTGAAATAATAATCACTATAGGCTGGAAATCGCAAACGTCTAACCGTTAGGAAGGGAAAGAAAAATGCATTTAATGTTAGATAAATTTAAAGGTGAAGTAAATTTGATTGATTTTATCACCCAAGAAATGTCGCTTCTTTATTTCACTTAATCAATTCCCAATATTTTAGAATATTGCACAAGTCGAAGACTAAACATACTTTTCGGTGTAATCATAAATGTATTAATTGTGGTGGTGGTGGTCTTGGCCGTGACGAATTCCATAAAATCGATAGAACTTAAAGAGTCGCGTCGCCAATTAGAAATATTGGAATTATACATACAAGCCATGGAAGTAGAAAATTCAAACCTACAAGGGACAACTATTATTTAATGATTTTAACTAATTTAATTAATTAAATGTAAAATTTAAATTTAAATAAATTGAATTCATTTTTATTTATTCTATTTTATGAAATTTTGATTTTTTTCTTTAGATAACTTATCGGCTTTTGAACGATATCAGACCGATCAAATATAATTTGCAATGGCATCCAGATTTGGAAAACAAAACATGTGAAGCTACCGCTTCCATACAAATTGAAATCGATAATGAAACTAATTTGATTGTTATGCATTCCCGCAATTTGGAAATTCACTCTATAACCCTATTAAATATGATGGCACGCATACGTATCCGCGTCCGCCAATGGTATTTGGATCATGAACGTGAAATGTTATTCATCGAATTGGATGAACTTTTATATAGAGCTACACCGTATACGATAACAATAAGTTATAGTTTCATTTTAGATGGATTGAATGGTGTGTACACTAGTTCTTACCGAGATGAGAACGATGAAGAAAGGTGAGTGCATGAAACATATATATATATATATATATATAGAACGTTTCATTTAGGGCGCCTATTACGAAAATTTGTTTTTCTTAATAACTCGATGTCTACATAAGAGCTTTGACATTGACTTTTCGGATTTATCCCTTGTTTCATAACAAAAAAAGTAGCTTCACTAACGCATCTGGATCCTGGAACATATGGATTGTCCAATTGTGGCAACATGAATATGTTTTCCGAACTTTCTGAATGATGGATTTCATCTGATTGATTACCCTTCGTAGGTATTAGATATCTAGGCCGAGGATATGCAGAGACAAAAGGGTTTAGCTAAGCAGGTTCAGCGTTCTCCACTTTGCCACGTTATGCTGAGAAAGGCTTCTACATGGCTCCTGAACAGGTCATCTAAATTAAGCCGCACCATGATAAAAATACTATTTCCCTCTATCTCTTCTCGCTATGTTAATCAAATGTCAAAAATAAATTTGATTCTTCTTAAGTAAAAGTTGGTCATTGACGTTATCTTGGAACTTTTTAAGATATGTTCAAAACACTACAAAATTATCCTGACTGCTATTTATTTGTTGCTCCCATGCAAATACGCGAAATAAAAGCCGGTCTCCTATGCGAAAGCAAAATAATGAAGAAAAAAAGCACAAAAAAACATTCAAATCACTTATATATATTGGAGATCATGATCAAGCGATTTATTTACAGTGGCATTCCTGTGCTCTCTCATTCTCTTAGAATCCAAGTCATTGATGTTCATTTCACACACATACCACGGCTGATGTGTCTGCTCATTCGCACGTAAAGCTCAATAGCAAGTTGAAGCCTATTTTAAATAAAAAGCGGCCACAATAATGTTTTCATTTCGTATTAAAAGATTGTGGCAAACTTTAGTCAGCAGCGAACACTGGTTAGAGGTAGTCAGAGAACTAAAATAGGTGCCCATATAAGTGCTATACGCGAGGAGAAATTGATGAATAAGGAAGAAAAAAAAAAAGCAACAAAGTTTAAGTTTAACTAACGGGTTTCAGGGAACAAACAAATCATAAATGCGTCCGCGAAAAGTGTACACTTTTGCAAGCAAAAAGATAGTGTTTATGTTATTTAAATCAAGCTAAGAGAAAGATACTAAAATAGTAAATAAAAATGAAAAAAAAAAAATAAATAAATAAATAAAAAAAGAATGCAAAACAAATAAAACATTAAAATAAAAAATAAATAATAAAAACATACACAAAAAAAACAAAAGAAAAGTATTAAGATAAAAAAAATATAGTTTTGCTAACGGTTTAAAAAGAAACGGTCTCTTAAAAAGTAGAGACAAACATACCAACTAATGCATGAATAATGATAATCAAAATAATAAATTCGTTCCTTTGTTTTTTTTTTGTTTTTTTTTCATAATAATTCTTTAATTAAAAGAAATTGAAATAAAAGTGAAACTTCTTTTCTTTTTTTTTTTTTTTTTTTTTTAAATTTCCAATTGAAATAATTTTTGTTAAAGAAAAGAGAAAAATAAAATTTAATAATTAAGCGCTAAAACGCCAAGTGTCTGTGTGAGAGTGTTTGCATCAAAATAAAAGCCTTCAAATGGCCTGAATTACCAACGCCAACAGGTTTTCAAACTGAGCAGCGCAACCTCAAATCACACAACCTAGCGGTGGCTCATTCGTCATCTCTCATATCGCTTATACTTTATATACATGCAAACAAGTTTATTAGAAGTGTGTTGTATTGTGTTGTGTTTTGTTGTGTTTTCTTGTGTTGTATTAATGCAATACATCACAAACAGTGCTTATTGCTTATTGCCGTTGTCTACTTATTTAGTGTTTAATCAAGCGCAACGCATACCAAACATATCTAAAAAAAAAAAAAAAACAATGTCAATACACACATACAGCCTTTGTGCGAACGACTGCCTTATCGTCGCATTAACTGCCAGTAGCAGTGAACTGCGATTGCTCTTCTTTTTTTTTTTGTTCATTTCTATATATCCATCATCGAGAGGTTAAAGTTGGTGCATTATTTTATCATTAGATTTGTAACATAAAAGAAACGGACGTCGCAGATCTTTTTCTGCTTCGATCCCTTACATCTAGACTGCTCGTCAGCAGGAACGCTTTCTCTTCTATCCATCACCGAAGGCAATAAGAAGGAGAATATACTTATTACGGAATATAACTTGGTCTTATTAACATCCCAAAACTATATCCATCAGTAAATTTTCCAAAATATATTCCTGGCCAGGAAGAAGGGATTTTGGAGTGATTTAATTATTAATTCAAATTAAAACTATAAGCATCAGAGATATTTATTCCTGACTGGCATTGGTTTCAGGATCGAAAGACATACATTAGCCATTTTCCTCACTAACATTAGACGCTTTTCTCTGTTCGTAGATTCTTGACTAGCATTGAATATTGGATTCATTTCGCTTTTATTCGTTTTAGGCTTTCTCAAGTTCATATATTCCTGCCCCGCATAGTCGCATTGCATCAGAGGCGTTTCCAAGTTCATAAATTCTTGATTAGCATTGTATCCTGGTTCGATTTAATTATTACTCGTTTTAATTACTAAATCCAAAGAGCTTACGTAGTGCATCTGTTGATTAACATTAATTGTGACCGTTAGTCATTCCGTCAGTCCTAATGTATGCAAATACAAAACTAAGCTTACAATACGCCTACAAGCAAATTAAGGTAATTAGAGAGCTCAACAAGATGAAATCATAACATATTTTAAAACGAAGTTTGAACGGGGCCCGCCATTAACAACAACAAACACAAAATTTCGATATTATTTTAGATAGCAATTGCATAGCACAGATCTGATCGGTCCATAGGTATTAACAACAAACGTTAGGTATACAGAATTCGGTCTGAAAATATTATAGCAATCGTACTAATTGTTTTGTCTTTTGCGTTCTGTCAAACAGCTAATCGCACGCTATGCAATAATCATATATTATACAATTAAGGATAAAATGAATGCAAACTTTCTTTAAATATATTTTAACTGTTCCCGGGCCGAAAGAAGCAGTAAGCAAGAAGCAAGAAACATCAGGTATATGGGGTTTATATGGGGTCCTCTAACCACTAAAAAGGAGAGCTTAAAAAGGACAAGTTGAAGCCCTTGCTAAACTTGGCATAGATTATTTAAATGTTTTACTTAACAAAGCCTTGCCAATGGAGTCCCAATTATTATTATTACTATTATTACCTTAGACATATTTGATACTCAAAAAAGATGAAAATTTTTTATGTTTCATTCATTCGTTGCAATGCCCGTTTCGTAAAGTAAGTTGTCCTTCGCCCTTACAGTTACGCTTTGCTTGATCTAATACATGCTAGAATGTCTGGCATACAAAATAGCGAGCTAGCACCGGTTGATGAAAGGAATCTATTTTTCGAATTTAATGAGTACACTAAAGCACTGAACAAAAGTAAACTTGAGCTGTTATGCCGCCTGACGACGTGGTACGCGGTGAGACTATTGTAATGGACTCTACTAAGATCGTGAGGAACTCAAAAAAAAAAAAGAAGAAAACTACAAGTTAAGTTGTACTTAGCATTTTTGGTCTGGCGATTGAGAATAGGATGGACTTACACTAAGAGAAAAACGAAAAATCCAAACGAGTAAGCGATTTGACAAAAGTGCAAGTTGGGTTGCTAGTCGGGCATATACGAACTAACGACGAAGGTCTATTTGAGAAGACTAAGGAATTTAAAATAAGTATGGAGTGGACTACTAGTTAAGTGTACGTAACTCAGTAGTTATTAGAGAGTTGTGCGGCGGATGGCTATTGCTACGGACTAAGGGACTTAAGAAAGTCGCCTGGACTTGTCTTCTCTGACAACTAGGATGCCTAGTCCTGACATATTAGAAGACGGGAATAAAGTAATTTTGCAGTTTGGTTTGTAGCAACTTAGAAAAGAAAGCTCCGTAGGCACTAATATATTCTTTTTCGATCTCTGCATATTAATTAGCAAATCTACAGATTTTTATTATTTTTCTTTATATTCTAACGTTGGAATCATTTGCTAGTCTCACCAAGAAAAATCGGAGGAGAAGTCTATTTGATTTTCACATTAACAAGAAAAAATGTTGATGATGATGATGACCAAGGCTTAAAACAAATTCGAATTTAGAAAGAAGAAAAAATGCAATTGTTTTGTCATAAACTGTACGTACATAAGCGTACATATTTAAATTAATTCTTTGCATGTAAGCCTACATACATTTAAGTATGTTTTTATAGCTGTAAATTATTACGCAGTTTATTTCTTTGCCATTTTCTCTCCATACAGGTCACTTTCTACTTTAATTCTCAAATAATCGTCCACAACCTGTCGACATCATTTTTGTAATTCTTTGCTGAGTTCCATTTCTTTCCTTTTGTTTTTCTAACAAATACTTTTCATATAACGTATCAAGCAAAAGTACTCTTAAGTCGTTATTTTTGCTTCTTCTATGCTTTTTATAAGAAAAAGTAAAAGAATTTTTTCATTTTTTTTTTTTCATGTTTCTTTGTGGGTAATAAGTAAAAGTTGCATGTCAGAGTGAAAACTGCATCGAAAAATTCTTCTTCTTTTATTTTTATTTTCTAATCTCCAAACGAATTCACGGCAGAAAGTTCCATTTATTATAATTAATGTCTTGCAATACAATACGAAGCTTTAGACAGTAGACTGTAGACAGTGGTTTGCCTACTTCGGAAACAAAAAAAAAATGGATTTATAATTTCTAAATAAAAGACTTTTGGATAAATGCCTATATATATACTTACTTACCTTCTATTCAGTTATAATTTGTAGTCTATGTGTGTGTGGTTTCAATATTTTCAAATTTTTCATTTTAAAGTTTAAAATTTTGTCCCAATTTTTTCTTAAAAAGTTATTAATATTACTAATGCTTTACACCCTTGAGAAAATGCATAGATAAACGTGACGTGATGAAGTTTACAATTAAAACAATAATCAAAAGAAACAAACGAATACTAATGCTTCTCATTTGCAATGCTTTGCACGTGCGCATGCGCAACAATTTTCTCCAAATATCGACCTACGTACACAGTTTAACAACACATGCAGTGCAAACGCACAGGCACACACACACACACACGTAAATCACAGATTATTTAGTCAAATTTTTGATGGCTGAGTCAAGTTTTCATGAATGTTTGAACAATCTGCTTGAGTTTCTTCACATTGATGCTAGAGCTGACTATTAGATAACTTTGTCATGTTCCGTTTTATTGCGCAGCATTAAGTTTGTCATTTTGTACGAATTTAGAAATACGAATTAGAAATGTCATGAGATGTTCTTAGTCATCGCGAAATCTTTAGTTGGGTGGTTTGTCCGTTGTTCACTTTCAAATTTTTAAAAAATTGAAAAGACATCTGGCGTTTGACTCATAACTAATTAAATTTGAATACGGACTAATGGACTGAGCAAGCATTTTTCGAAAAAAAGCAGAAATTGCTGGCGACGTGGTTTGGTTGAAAAATACCGAAAATATTTGTTTTTTTCTCAAAACGTATTCGTTCGATCTCAAAAAGCGGTGCCGCTCTCTTCCAAATGGCCCACTGTGGTATT